CCATTTCGGAACATGTGGCCTCAGTTGGAATCCATAAATATTGGTATCTAACATAATTAACACATTCCTATTCCAATTGCACATATATGTTCTAACGTGTCTTTTGAGGACTATCAATTCCACAAAATGTCAAACATGTTTTAACACATCTTGATAACTAAATCATAGAACAGGTTAATTCATGTATAAAACGTGAACTTGTTAGACTTTAAGCGGAAGAATCAGCGAACATCTAGCGAAAAAGGAGCATGACTACGCTAAGAATGGACATACATTGTACCTGCAAAACGAAATAACCCATTTAAGCAACGATAAGTAGAAATCATACTACATATAACATCTCACAAGGGAAGAAAACACAGCTACAATATTACAATAAGGTACGACGCAAAAGTCACATATAGCAACCTTCACCACCTCAATACCGCCAAAAGAACTACTATCCGACAAAACATAGACGGTTACATAAACGAAAAGCACAGAGAACGTACATCCTCTGATAACATCCGCATAGGTGCCAACAGTACAATTTCGAGACCACAATTCCCAAAACACGATTGTCCAAAAAAAGAGAATAATTTGCAAAAGCATAACGAAACACAATATCTCCCCGAACATAAAACAGCTACAATCCCAGAGTCATCATCAAACACATCTTTAGTTCCTGCAGCAAACAACATGGAATAATAAGAACCACGACACGCACAAAAACTAAACTACAACACAAACGTTTTGAGAGTATAGGTTTAAACAACAGAGCTAGGAGTACCCTTGAAACCATGATCGCTTCTTGAACAAACCACGCTTTAACGCCGTTTTTTTCTGACTATCCATCGAAGCATCTCTTTCCATGTCAACACCTGCCTGTGAGGAACCACCATGTTGCGCCTGAGCACTTTTGGCAGCATCCAATTTCTCCACCTTGATCTTGGACAGTGGAGAAATCAACCTTCAAACAAATAGAGTTTTTTGTTCTAAGAACGGGAGCAATAACACAAACATAAATTAGTAAAAAACTAACAATGTAAGACATAAATACTCACGGCGATGCCGATGCTGACACGACGGTTGAACCTAAAGTCATCCCAGGAGATGACTCGGGGGATGGCTTTAAAACTTTCGCAGCTGGCATAGATGAGCCGCGACAAACATCCTCGGGGCTCATAGACTCTTCAATTCTTGCTGATCGTCTGGGGATCATTGAAGTAGCAGATTGGACAGACAGTACAGTAGAATGAACAACAGAGGACATCGCAGCAGGTGCAACAGCTCGAATAGAGCCCACCTGTACACCCATCGCTGAAACCTAAGAAGCTCCAAGAACCCGTGACTCAGTATCGATGTCTTCATTTCTGACATTTGTAGAAATAGGGTTTCGGAAACACCTGGCCTCATAACTGGGAAATCTGCGAATTATAGTAACTGATTCAGATGTCATCCTCGAACAACATCGCAAATTAGCAAAATAAACTCCGGGAACAACGACAATACCTGCCAATCAGGTCTGGTTCATCAGTGATGCTAAACGGCATAGCCGGAGTTTCAATGAGAAGAGAGTCAGAAACCTTCTCCTTTCCCTTCGAGGCCCTTGAGAACACATCACAAATATTTCACTTTAGACAAAATACACAGACCAAAGCAAAACACAAAGAAACCAAAGCACCAAACACTGACCTCGATGAACCAGAGGGGCCCCCCTCGACACTCGATGCACGCATCATAGGAGCAGCCAACGGAGGGGGCGAAGAAAACTCAAGCAGATCACCCACAAACTTGAGTCACACGGAATTCTCCCGAGGAGAAACCGGTTGGGCCCGGCAACGGCAACCTACAATCAAACTTGACATACTGCCCACGTAACTGATGCAGTTGTGGGAGCAGCTGACCAGGACAATGGGGGAACCTTTGGGCCAAATGTGCGGCAGAAACGTTCACCAGCGTAAGCGCACACCCTCCCCCCCCCCCCCCCCCCATCAATATAAAACGCGCCTCACAGGAGTCATCCCTCAGTGTAAGCTGGAGCTTGTAGCTGAGGGAAAAAGAAGATTAGCAACAAAACCCACAACAGGCAACAAACATACAAAAAATGACACATGGTCATACTTGACGCGAGTTTGTTCCTCATCCAACTGCCAATCCTTTGGACACCAAAATGAATCATCACGACGCTTCGAAACAGCCCTCGAACATAACTTGCATGAAATATAATACCAAGGTGTGCTTGACTCAACATCAACAATCACTCCACCACATCGATACTTCTCTTCCTAACAAACAAAGAGGGAGCAAGTTACGTCCAAACATGGGGAAAATGATAGCAATAGACTTTTAGACAAACACGCAATACCACTGAGGCATTTGTTCTGGATAACGCCAGCAACTGACTCAAAGTCCTGGTTCGACGATCGGCATCAGCTGTAGCATCAGCGGCAGTAGCAAACTCAACCGGCAAGGATTCAACAACCTCGTGTTTCTCAGCAAACCTAATAGAGATCCAAGCACCATAACTTAGATAACATAGGAGCCTTTACAAAATCCGGAATACATCAACAGCACACGGGAAATCGGCAACAACCCACAACTAACTTACCTAGACGCAAGAAAATAAGCCTTCGGTACAGGAGGATTGACTGATATGCGAGTAGCGGCAGAACTCGACAGAACATAATCATCTGAAAAGTAGAATAAAAGACGACAAAAACTATAACATACTAATAGACCACATACTAATGGACCACACTCAATCTAACGAAACCATGCATGCAATAAGGAAGCAACAACATACCTCCCAGCTTATTGACCAGCAAGCCGCCAAATGCCAAAATCACAGCTTCAATAGAGTCAGCCTGAGTCAAAGCAACGTGATCCAACACCGCGGAAAACTCATCCCGGAGCGTAATCGAGACCTTCGCTCCGCTGAGGAAAAAAAGAAGGACACGTAAGAGAAACAAAGAACAAACACAGCACTCACAACCGAACCAATAAACACAGGAAAACGCAAAACACCTTTCATCCTCAACTATGACCGTCTGCTTGACTGCAGGACCGTTATTTGTGATCTTGTGCGATATCCCGCTGATCGAACTGAGTCGGCCAACGACATCTACAAAAACAGTACAAAGATAAAATTTTGTTAAACAAACAGCAAATATATAAACAAAGCAAATCCAACAAAAACAAACCCACCAACCTGTCAAATAACGATGGTTGCCGGCACGCAAATTCAACTGAGAGAAAACCACAAACTCGTAAGCATCAACTGGGAAACTTTCAGCAGGCAAAACACAGGGCTGAAAAGAAGCCGAAGGCGAAAGACCCAGAGCCAAATCAAAAGAACAGGCCCGATACTGATTTGGCGGATTGCTCAGGGCAAAAGTCTTTATGACGTATATCTTGCCAACTGAGAGATTACGGCGAATCCCGGTAGCCATCGAAGTCGGTGAGACGCCTTGTATCAGCATACCCTGCGCAAAACACTCCACCCTGCCGCATGAACAAAGCGAAGAGGACACAGCAAACGGGGGCAGGAAAGAAAAGGCGAGGAGGACAGAAACTCAACTGTTTCATCGACCCAAAGAGTGCAGTAATTGTAGATCCTAATGTCCCCCGGGGACTTCGCCGGCCACACATGCAACAGGCGGAGCCGCAAAGAAACGCTGGCATTGCAAGGACCTCCGAGGTTACAAGCAGCGTAAACTCCATGGTTCAGGAAAAGAAGAAAACCAAAGAGAGAGAAAGAAATTTTTTGAGAAAGAAAACAGAATGACAGGAGGGAAGTTCCGGCGCCACGAAAGATAAAAAAATGAAAGAAGGAATGAACAGACGTGATAGTACTGCATGTCAGTTACCGGTCCAATGACGGAAGATAACGTAAAAAAATGGGAAACAACACTGCGATTAACAAAAAGATAAGGACAACGTAAAATCAAGGAACCGCCAATGAAACCATAAAAAGCAACGAAGGATTCCAGGCGCCGAAGCGGCGGTTGTCAGATATCAGGTCACAAAGAGAACCGCTCCCCCCAGGCCCAAATGCAAATCGCCGTATATAAAATGGCGCGCCCATCATTGGCCGAAATCCAAGAAGTCAAGAAACAAAGCCCACGTGCAAGAGAAGAAAGCAAAGCAGTGCGTGTAATAATTATACGGGCCGGTCTCAGGGGAAACGATAGAAAGAAGCAGAAAACGCAGGGAAAATAAGCGTCCATTTGAGGGCAACGCGGCACACAAAGGAGCAATAGAAAACAAATAAAAAACCGGCCCACCCACAACTGAACAGCCAATTAGAAAATGCGGCCGCAAAGATGGACCAATCAGGAGAGGGTGAACAGTAATTTTGAGTCTAAATGAACAGTAAATTGTGTCTAGATGAACAATAGCGTGTCTTTGCAAATGACTTGTTCTAATATATATATATATATATATATATAAAGATAAATAAGAAAGATTCGGAGTTGAGAGGGTTTATTCTAAAAAATCTCCCCAAAACCTTAATTCTCAAGCATATGAATAAACTATTCAGGCTCTAAGCGAAGGACAACTTTTACAGACGTGTTACTATGCCTCTAGGGGAATTTCACAACCCAAAAATTGCCCATAAGCTTAGAGGAAGGGGGGGAAACAGTAGCTTGGAACGTAACCAGAAAACTGTATTTTTTAATAATATAGGTTTTCTTATTCTAAATTGATGTTTCTGATTTTTTATGTGCTTGTGAGTTGTTCGCTAGTTTTTTTGTTTATTTTGCGAACCCTGAAGTTCCAAAAATTACGCTATGACAATTGAATTCAATATATCGTGATTGGGTGTTTTGTCTATTCTATTTCGTTTATCAATACAGCTCATATTATATATCTGTGTTTCTTGTAAGATTGATTGGGAAGTCTTCTTGTATGATTATTAGAACACCAATAATCATAATATATTAATTGTTCATATGCCACTTAATTCACATCTAAAAGGGAAAACTATAAAAGAATATGATATGATATTGGATCGAGATAGATAGTGAAAAACTTCGTAGACATACTCGATTGGGTATATTTTATCCATGTTAATTTGGAAATTCTAACAGAAGCAATGCTTGAACAAAGCATTTGATTTCCTACTTTATTTCGAGATTTTAATTGCATTTATTTTAGGTCATGCTCTTGTTTTGTTTCGTGCTCTTAGGTTTGATTTGGCAAATCGGGTCATCTCAACCCCGAACTAGTTCTCTGAGAACACAACGGTCACTTCAAAGTAGTGTGAACTGAAATACCCTACGGGGATTTGATCTTGAAAGTCTTCACATCTGTTGAGCTAAATTTGACTCTATCCTAGGATGGATCAAAAATTCATGGCCCTTTTTATTGATTACCATGTTGATAAATAACGTCAACATTAACCGAGAGAAAATAAATAGTTGGACATTGGGAATACGAGTGTTAGTTTGGGTGTGAATGTACAGAGATGTTCATGATGACGAATTCCAACCCGTGTTAGTTGGACATTTTACACGTATTATCCTCCCCGCGTCGTGCCTCTCCTCTTCAGATCTCCCCGTGACGCTCCTCTTCCAAGACCAGATCGTCGGCCGTTACTCGTCCTCCTTTGCCGCCGCGCTCGTCCCACCTCGACTTCCGTCATCTCCTCCTTCGCCGCCTCCGCTCTTCTACCAGCCACCACCATCGCCGCCTCCGCCTCCCGCCATGATTCTTCCATCTCCGGCCGAAACAGCTCGCCTCCGACCTTGCTCTTCCCGCCGACTGCTGCCGCTCCTCCTCCTTCACTAAGGTAGAGAGAGGAGGGAAGAAGAAGAGATTTGGGGTAGCAGTCTTGCAGAGGCAGAGAGAGGGGAAAAAGAGAGGAGAGAAGAAGAAGATAAGAGAGGAGAGAAGAAAACGTGTGATCTTCCTCCTCTTTCTTTTTTATTTTAATTTTTTATTGTTTGGTAAGAAAGGAGAGAAGAAAACATGGGTGGGGTTGTTTTTTATTTTTTTTTCTTTTGTTTTTTAATAAACATGGGGTGGGTCGGTTACTCGCGGTTATAACCGAACTAAAATCGAAAACCGATCGGTCGATGATCGGCTACCCGTGGCTTCCCTCACGGTCGGTGGTCGGCAGTCATAGGGGACGGGTCGGTTTAACCTACTAGGAGGCATTCCGTCCTCTAGCCTACTAGGGGTGTTCGTCTTTTCGCCTGCTGGGAGGTGTTTTTCTTCTAACCTACCTAGCAACGTTCTGTCTTTTAGCTTATCGAGAAGTCTGGTCTTTCTTCTTCATAGGAGCGCTCTTAGTCTTTCTATTTCTAAGAAGTATGTTAGTCTTCGGTTTCTTGGAAAGCGCTTTAGTCTTTCGGCTTATGAGAAGCGTGTTAGTCTTTAGACTTCTAAAAAGCGCATTAGTCTTTCGGCATCATGGGAAGCGCATTAGTCTTTTGACTTCATGAGACTTAAGTATTTTGGCTTTCTATGAAGCGTTTTAGTCTTTGGCTTCTGAGAAGAGCTTATTGCAAATTAACCAAATGGAGCGGATAAATACATTGGGAATGACATTTACCCTCAAATTTGCACCCTCTTCATTTGCACCCCTAGCCAAACATAGTGTTAATGTCTTCATTCAATTTCGTCAAATCTCAGTCAAGGGTAATAAACCAAGGTGTGAGAAAAATTAGCCAAAACCAAGTGTTGAATATCTTGGCTTATTGAGCTCCAGAACCTTGAATTGATAAAAACTCCGACACAATCTAGATAAAGATCCGAGACTGCTCCATCTAATGGAGAACCTAAGGATTTACTATAATGGAACCTTGAAGCTATCAAAGAAAATTTAACATAGTGGAAAGAGGATTAGCAACTCCAAAATTTGCTATTAGTCTACCATTCCTAATGCAAACCCCAAAGAGTAGCCGACACAAGTGTCAAGAAACCAGAAAGCAGATATGAATGAAACAGGAACCTGCTCCCGTCACTTTTATAGGAATATGATGGTCCTGGATCTGCAACTGCTATCAAATATCAATCCCAGAGTGGTTGCATTTTGCATTATTAGCAAGACGACTACTACCACACTTATCCAGTCCTCAAAAACGTCAGCTGAAATGAACCAACACGCTAACAGCCAGAGAAGCCCACGAGGATGATAGCAACACGGATCTACCACATTATTAGCAAAGAACAAAGACACGTCGATAATAAACGAGAGATTAACAGAGAAGGGTGACGGGTGAAAGGAGAGCAAAATATCTTACATTCCGGACGTGTAAGAGATTCTTCTTCTACCAAACGTCAAAAAAAAATAAAAACGAAAGAAGTAATATACAGAAAGGAGGGGAGGAGAGCGAGCTAGCTAAGCAAGCAAAGCTTCTTGCCTTCTCAATTTACATTGCCTGTTCTTTGTTTCCTCTCAAAACCCAGAAACGACCCATAAGAACAAAAAAGGGTGTAAAAACACGAAAACAAAGAAGTACAACATCCCTTAAGACGCTAATATCGATCAATCATTAGCTTCTTCCCTCCTTGAGTAAGTAAGATTAGAGAGAAACTTAGGAAAAGAGAGGGTGAGATTCAAGAGAGAGAGAGAAGAGAGGCTACTTATCTCAGCTCAATAGAACAGACCATCTCAGCAAGCATGTGAATAGCTCTTTCTCCTAAACCTCGAATTTCAGTTCCCATTGTAAGAATTTAGGGTACTCTTTCCTCCGACGTTTCATGACCTAACTGAAGATGAAGATTCCCCCAGAGAAACCGATGCTAAGGATGAAGCCCAGACCCTACAGTTCTTTGCCCCCTCATGGAAATTCCTGGTCTTGCACAGTCTAAGTTTGGTCCAAACCTGCCTCACGTCTACCAAGTGGAGGATGCGCACAAACAGCTGGCTGCTTGTCTCGCCGAATATTCCCAAGTTGAGTCGGGGAATTATGGAGGTACAGAATGCCTTTAGGTGAGACAAGAGTTTGGGGGATAGAAATAGCGCCAATCGGATGAAGAGGAACAAGAAGGAGAATGCCAAGTAAGGCTCCCTTTTCAGTATATCTTCCATTCGTGACCCATCCCAGGGCTTTAGAATAATGCTCTTCTCATCGCTCGGTGAACTTGTTGCCTGACCTTCAGTCAAACATTGCACTGCCTCAAATCCTGTCAAAGTTCATATGTAAAAAAGAAGTACAACAAAAATCAATTATGTTTCTGCTCTATCTTTGTCTAGCAAGAAGGCGAGAATTAAAGTTGCATGTCAACTACAAATATGGAAATGTCACCGAACAAAAAATGACCTGTTGCTTTGACATAAAACTGCACGAGGGACTGAAGATTCTTTGGCCCTCCGTATCGCACTTTTGTGGTCTGGTTAACCATCACCATGGAAGGCAAGCTGTGGATTCCAAATCTAGAAAATACACTGACAAATGGAACAAGAAATTTAGCAGTTGGTAGTACAATACAAGAATTATCCACAAAATCAACATGTCAGTAATATCATCAAACAATAGCTGAAAAGGAAAAAGCAGGTGAACACCTCAACCCTAAAAGCAGCATGCAAAACGCAATAAAAGAGAACCCCTACCATGTACCCTTTCATGGCTAACATAGACAGAAGTATCTGAAAAGGTTGCATAGTCAGGTTTGGTCCTCTATGGTAGGTGCGTCATTAACCCAACTAAGGCGGATCATCACAAATTTCATCTTGTAAAGGACATTGAATTGTATATCCACAATAGCTAGCACGAGACATCCCTACCGAATACCGCTACAAAAGCTACTACACCACCACTAACAACCCTTTAATAGAATATTATCACCACTTACCTCTTACAAATCCCACTGCAGCTAAGACAGAAACACTGAGTATGGGATCTTACAAGCAACGGGCATATGTATAGTATATATAGTGTTACATCACAACCTCATATTTCTTTCCAGGTGATGTCTGAATGACAAATAAACAAATTTAGTATCCTACACTTATCACAGCCATTCCTATAGTGCATTGTGGAGGCTTAAAGTAAGTTAAGGATTCTCCATATATATATTAAAAAAAAAAAACCCATCAGATTTGACACTTTCAGCTGCATCAAGAAATGATTTTCCAGAAATAGTGAAATGTAATGTTTCGTTACCATACCTTGGGAGAGCTGAAGACTCTTCAACGGCCAAATGCTGTATCTCAGGGAACATGGCTGCAAGCATTTCAAATTTAGAAAGCATGCCACGGGAGAAGGGGCACCAGGAAGCATAGAAAAGCACCGACGTATAAGCATTTGTCAACTCTGACTTCAAAGCTCTCTCAAGAAAGTCCCCATCCACCTATTTCCAAATAACCAATATCATAACTCAATACCAAGAAGAAGTTGAACAGCTTTACACAACTTACAACACCATTAATTACTACATCGAACAAACAAACCCTGAGGAGAAAAGCAAAAGGCACAACTTTCATTTCCCAATTAGCACCCAACTAGCTAAAACATATACCAAGAGATGCAGTATACTTAATCAGCAGCGGAGGGAAGAAGGTCGTTTTACGGGGATAACCAAATTAGACAATATGGTCGCTTAAAACTATGCAATCTACATATGGGCCTTCATCCCAGTCCCTTAAAAGCTAGCTTGCTGCTACTAAGAACTCCATTGCATACAACCCTAACCACAAATCCTTTTCTCGGGAACCTAGAAACCTAACGAATTTGTTAACACGTACAAACAAGGCAGCAATTACCAGCTCAATTTATCACAAACCCTAACAAACAAATCACTGCCACCAACCACCCAGCCAAAATCGATCAATTAAGACAAAAGAGGACACAGAATTTCACGGATTGCAGAAATTTATCGAAATTGATCAATCGTGGGAGGAGTGAAGAGGGAGAGAGGCGAGAAAGGGGTTTACCTGGAGAGGGGGATTGGAGGAGATCGAAGGATGGCATTGAGATTGAAGATTGTAAAGCAACATAACCGATTCAGTCGGGCAGGTTGTGGAAGCCGATGCTGGCGACGACACCACAAGCCGGAGGGAGAGGAGGAAGAAGAAAACGGACACCGCCGGAGACATTGGGAGCGGAGAGGCGGGGAATCGAGAACACGGTACAACACCGACGGCCAAATCGAAAAGAGAGATTTTTCTATTGATAAGAAGGGAGACCGTTAAATTAGAAAAGAGAACAACAGACCGAAAAAAGGAAGGTAGTAGAGAGCAGGTAAAGGTGATCAGGAAAGAGGGAAGATCGGATCCGAAGAAGAAGATGGAGGCAGGAAGCAGAGAGGAGAAAAATGGCGTTTCGTTGGCCGGTTCGTTTTTATTTCTTCCTGTCTCTTTCCTGTCTCTCTCTTTCTGGTTTTTTGTTCCAAAAAATTGGTCTCACTGTTTATGGCTTTATGGGCGTATTATATAGACAATTATTATTTATCTTTCCCTCTCTCTCTACTGTCTGCATATAAATTTGGTCGGAAATTTTAAATGTCAAAACAAAACGAGAAGTTGATGACAAGACAAAACAAAACAAAAAACCCGAATAAAATGTGTACGGTAAATTGCAAGATTGATCACTCATATTACTAAAAATGTTCATTTTGGTCATTAAAATATTTAATTCAATTCGTGAACACTAAAAGTTGTTAAATGTTTCAAGTTTGGTTATTCTCTGTCCAATTCCGTTAACTTTGTCAGATGTAGTATTTGACCGTTAAATGAAGATTTTTAGTATGTGGTTGTTGGTGTTTACTTGTCTTGTTGTAGTGTTAGGCGTTTGCAGCAGGTTTGTGAGTTGATTGCTTTTTGTGATAGCTTGTTGGTTCCTTTTGTGATGGTTGGAGACTACAATTGTGTCTAATATGGTACAGAGAAAAGTGGGGGACTTCCATGGTCTCCCTGATTCGGCGATGGCCCTTCGGGAATGTGTGGATCGTTTGTGATCGCATGATTTGGGATATAGAGGGAGACCCTTTACTTGGACAAATCATCGTATGGGAAGTGCTTGATTCAGGAAAGGTTAGATCGCGTTTTGGCATTCAATTCTAGGTTAGAGTTTTTCCCTCAGTCTTTTGTAAGACACTGTTTGGATTTGGGGTCGGATCATCGAGCGTTATTGGTGGCGAATAAGCCTTTTGTGAGAAATCGATCGCTCTTTCGATTTGACGCTGGATGGGCGGGGAATCTTGAAGTTAAACTTTTTGTCTAGTATGTATGGGCTGAGGAAGTTGTTATTTCTCTTATGTTTAAACTGTGGATGAGGCTCAAACATCTTCGACACATTTTATACGATTGGAGTCGAGCTGGTACTGGGAATTCTGCACAAAACATTCGGTCATTGTAGGATGAGATTGAGGCATTGAAGGCTGAGCATCCTGTGAACTAGGAGTACATTGGTAGACTTGAGGCTTAGCTGCCAAGACAGTGGGCAGCGGAAAAAGTATACTGGCAAAAATCGAGAGTTTGGTGGTTGCGAGAAAGGGATAGTAATAATATGTCTTACTTTCATACTGTGACGAGGGTGTGGAATATGCGGAATAATATCGAGGGGCTCCAGATTCGAGGGATGAGTGGATTACAGATGAAG